GGGGGCGGGGACCAAGCCCGGAAGGCGTAGCTGGGGCAGTGACTAGAGGCCCGGGGGCGTAGCTGGGGGCGGTGAGGCGGCCAGGGAGCAAATCAAGACGAGTCTTGGGAGGCGGGGCTGGGGACCAAGGTCAGGCTGGGAAGGCGCAGCTGAGGCAGTGAGGAGGCCTGGGGTCAGAGTTGCCCGCGGAGGACGTGGTGGAGAGCGAGGCTTCTACGCTTTAATACTTAACGGTGCTTTTTTTTAAAAAATGTTTTTATTGATTTTTAGAGATCGAGAGATAGAAACGTTGATGAGAGAGAAACATCACCGACTGGCTGCCTCCTGCACGCCCCCTACTGGGGATGAGCCCACCCCGCAACCCGGGCTTGTGCTCTGACCCAGAATGGAATTAGTGACCCCTTAGTTTATAGGTCGATGCTCAACCACTGAACCATACCGGCTGGCTTAACTGCTTTTTGATGCATATGCACGAGGATAAATTTGTAGAAGTGAAATAACTTGTTAAAGGGCGTGTTGAATTTTTCATTTTTATTGATAGTGACAAATTGTTCCCACAGAGGCTGTTGACAATCTCATCAAATACCACTCATTTTTAAAATAGCAATTCATAAGGAAAGTGAGGTTTATTGAAACATTTTCAGTTAGGCTGCTTCCAGATTCACCACAATTGTTGGAGCTAAGCATTCTTTTACATATGTACGTATGTTCATGCATTTGTATGTATGTATATGCATTGTGAGGGTTCAGAATGAGTCACCCCAAGATGTGCCTCTGTGGTATGCAGATTGTTTTGAGCTAAAGGCAACGTTAGCCTCCAGTGCAAGTGAAACTTCCAAATTATAATTACCAGGATGTGGGGATGGTCACTAAGGTGTAGTGTCATGTCTCCTGATGCCCCTCCCCCTTTCACCTGGGTTCAGGGAAGTGTCTGTAGCATTGGCAGTCTAGCTCTGGGACTTCCCATTAGCCCGCTGGGAGCTGGCAGCCAGCCCTCCCCCTGCCAAGATCCTCACCACTCCCCATGAAGCCCAAGACCCCAGCAATCCCAAACTTTATTTTCCTCCCCTTTCAAAAGCACTCCCTACCCCTTTCAATTCTCCCCCAGCGCATAACTCAGCATCAAGATCCTGTACTTGAGCTATCTTTGATCAAACATTGAGAAATCAGAACTTTTCAAAAAAATTTACTCCCCTACCCCTAATTACAAAAGTAATATATGTTCATTGTAGATAATCTGGGAAAATACCAAAAACCAAACATGGAAAAAGCCTCAGCAATTCCATCTGGTGATGTCGTGGTAAGAAACATCCAAACCTGTAGAGAATTTTTATAAGAGTTTATATGAGCCAAACTGACGACACATGCTGGGAGGCAAGATCTGAAATGCTCCAGAGAATAACAGTTTTGAAGCTTTTATGCATTTGAAATTAGAGGGAACCTACATGGAGATGAGAGAAAGCAAGGCAAGGATTGGATTATATGATAGTTAACAATATTATGTGCTCTCTTGATGGTAGTGAAGCTTATTACAAAAGCATGATAACCTAGATGCACAGAAACAATGGACAGGACTGGCCTTAAGCAAAGATAAAACTTTTACAAGAACATCATATGTTTGGAACAAGCAACCCACCATGACCTCCCAGTTTGGAATTATGATCACATCACCCTATGAAGTTACTTTCCTTAGAACCCCCTTTTCATCCACAGAACTTAGGGAGGGGTGTCCTCTGTCTCACCAGCCCTGGGGAACCAGACCTACAATACAGGGGCTACAGGGTAAGTTTGAGATCTACAAAGTGCCCCCCTCAGGGCAGGAGCGACCTTTCTTTAAGATAAAGACCTGAAAGATTTTGCATGTTGCCCATTAGCTTGCAAAGTCCATTCTAATAAGTGCTCGTACCTAGGCCAGGATCCGGCGGTTCCTTCGCTTATTGACTATAGTCCGCACCCCAGGTGCCCCCAGGCGGCAGGAGCAATAGTGAGCGGGGAGGCCCAGCCCCGAATGAAGGCTGGGGGCCGAACATGATAGCTGGAGGGCTCCACCCGCCTCCCCGTATCCCCATAATTGCAGTAAGAGGCTTCGTCGGGCTCAGGAACGGCAGGTCACCTACCCCTCCCGATGTCACCCGCGCCCCTCTAGGGTCCCCACCAACTGACGGTGTCTCCCCACAGCGAACAGCGCCTCAACCGAGGAGCTGCGCCCCGGCCCCTTACCTCCGACTCTCCCTCCACGACCCTCCCCCAACCCTCACGGGCCGGGACCCCCACTCGGTCCCACGCACCGATCGCAAGCGTTCCCCTGGCGACCCCAAAGCCGCGCCTGAGGACCGCTAGCCCACGCGGGGGCTTCGACCGCGAAATACGCCCCAGGCGTAAAGTGGCACCGAGGGAGGGGCGGACGCTGTAGGCTGCGCACTTCCGCTTCCGGTTCTCAGCGCCTGCTCGGACCCCAGCTTTGCTCCGGAGCGACGAGGTTGTGGCGTCGGCAGGTTCTAGGCGGTTCGAGGTAAGGGGGTCTGGTGGAGCGGTCCGGAGTCGGAGAAAGCTGGTGGGATCCGGCCATCGGCGGCCCAAGGGCCTGCGGGAGACGACCTGAAGTGGGGGAGGGGCGGTTGCCTGGGGTACGCGGCTCTGGGACACGGAACTTGGGTCGCGGAGGACTCGGGTCTGGGGGCGGGAGGTGAGCGTACGTCTCACCCGGAGGTCTGGGGGTCTCGGAGGCCTCTGACGTCCTGACTCTGCTGCCTCACAACCCCCGCCCTGTGCAGCTCCAGACAGAATGATCGAGGTTGTTTGCAACGACCGTCTGGGGAAGAAAGTCCGCGTGAAGTGCAAGTATCCACCGGTGGCGGAGAGACAGTGGCCCGGGGGGTGCTTGGCCTGAGAGTCTGTGTTGTAGAAGGGGCGGGTGGGGTCCTGGCAGAGTGCATTTAGCCCTGCAGAGCCCTTTTCTGCGTCCTAGCACCCCGTACCATTTTCCTTAACTCCTCTGCGTGCAGCACCGATGACACCATCGGGGACCTTAAGAAGCTCATCGCAGCCCAAACGGGTACCCGTTGGAACAAGATCGTATTAAAGAAGTGGTGAGTGCAGTGACCGCTGGGGCCTGGACAGGACTGTGCCAGAAGGTTTGGGTTGGGGTAGTGCTTGCCTCCAGGGTGAAGACCACCTTAGGTTTCTGTCTGAAAGGTTTCTATCCCATAGGTACACGATTTTTAAGGACCACGTTTCTCTGGGAGACTGTATCCTTTGTGTGATTTCTTGAGGAAGGGTCTACACACCGTGTCCTGGTTCTTTGTTCAAAACAGCCTATCTGAGATTATGTACATAAAGTGTTTAATTTAGTATGTAGCACGTGATAAGCATTTACAAAATGGGGCCATGTAATTATTTTGTTGGGGGAGGAGGGTGGTTGACTGGTAACATATTTTGAGACTTAGGAGACACTTCAAGGAGGTCAGGGTGGAGTGAGACTGGGTCATGTCTGCTGTGCAAAAGGAGCATGAACTTTTTTTTATAGTTTGTATTCTTTCCAAATCAAAATGACCCAGTCCAAAATGGATTCCTTGGTCCTGATCCCTCAGGCCACCCTGTCCCAGTTATGAGAGATGAAAGAGTGGGGAACCAAACCCACAGTAAGGATTCCTTAACACCTTTACTCCAGATGAAATCCATGATGGGATGAACCTGGAGCTTTATTACCAATAAAGTAGAATTCCTTCCCCATGCCTTGCCCCCCTCCCCTTCCCTCTTCTCCCACCCTCACCCCCCACACTGGTATGGATGCTTGTTTTTAAAAATTCATGTTAATAAAAATGTAGAAGCAGCTTCATTATTGTCGTCTTTGAATGAGGGCTGTCTAATGAGGGAAGGTTGGTATCTGGTTGTCACTATACTCTCAGTGCCCAGCTGCCCAATAAGAGCTCAAGATTGACTGGATCAGTGAGGGCAGAGAAGCTGGGAGACTGGGACCCTGTGTGGAAGCCCAGAGCTCTGGAGCTTGCCATGGGTTTCTGAAGGGCAAGAGATCCTGGGATTATTGTCATCCTAATAGGCCAAGGGGCCTCTGGGTAGGGATAATAGATGGAGTAGTTAGGAATACAGGTTCTGGATTCAGACAGATTATGGGTAGAATCCCAGCTCATATCAACGGTAACCCTGGGCAAGTTACTTAACCTCCCTAAGCCTTCATTTCCTTTTCCAAACTGGAACTGATAGTTCATTGTCGTGTTGTGAAGTGTAGATGAGATAAAACATGGTTGAGCATCTACAGTTCCTGGCACTTATGAAATCTTAGTGGACAGAGCAAAACATTGTGGCATAGGCTGAATTTTGACTGATCATCAGTAGTGGGATTTGAGGAAGTCAGCTTCTTTGATCTTCAGTTTCCTCCTCTAAAATGGGGTACCATGATGATACCCACATCTCAATGAGATAATGCAGTTAAAACAGCAAGATGTCTGCTATAGTGTTACTTGCTATCTCCAGCTTTCTTCTCCGTGTGAGTAGACAGGATACCAAACACCCCATCTCTGTTCCCCTAGCCACAGATCCTGAGGTTGACCTTGGCCCTGTCCTTTTCCCAGAGCTGTATTCTGGGGCCCTTCTCAGGAGCTTCACCCAGAACCTTGCTCCATTCTTTCTCCCCTTTTGTATTGACCTGCCCTATCCTCAGGATGTAAATAGAGTCAAGTCTAGCCCACTGCTCCTCCCTTTCCCTGCAAGCTCCTCCCAGCCTCTGCCTTCCCTTAACCACCAAGGTTCTTGAGAGGTATGCGTGCCAGCTGCCTGGGATGCAGCTGGCCTGTAGTCCATTGAGAATGGTTTCTCTTTGGTCTCCATTAGTCACCTTCCTACCTGCCTCTTGGCTTCCCTCCTACCCGTAAGACATGTCTGTTTCCTAGTACCTTTGCTCTTCCTACCCTGAGAGCTCAATCTTCCCCTTTGCCTGTCAAAAAAAAAAAAAAACTAAAAATTTTTTTAACTAAACATAACAGCCTTTTTATTAACCAATGTCACCCCAATAAATGTAATACAAAAAATATATAAAAAGAAGTATAAGACCTGAGGTAAAGCAAAATAAATAAACACAGGACAGCCTTGACAGGGTGATTCCTTATCATTTCAAATCAGCATAGAAAATACATGCTAAAAGTAAAACCCCTCTTCTCACCCCATTCTCTCTGAGGTGAGGACTTTTTCAGTGCATTTGTATAAACTTCAGTTTTATTTTTAAAAGATAACTATGCTAATATCTGCTTGTAAAAAAAATCTAAATGTTTTGTTAAAAATTGTTTCATATTAACACCACCTGCCCACCAGTAGCAGTTAACATATTTGAGTGAATCCAGACATTTTTTCTGAAATACAACCTATAGTTATACAGTTGGGATAATTAATACATTCTATAATATTCATATACCATGCAGCAGTTTGCTTTTTTATGCTTTTGATATCTTTCCATGTAAATTATGTTTCATTCTTTTTCATTAGTATTTTTATTGATTAATCTTTTAAAAAAATTTTTTTTCTTTACATAAAAGGGCAGTATGGAGGGATTTTTGTGGTGGTGGATGCAGGACTCTTCATTTGTCAGAAAGGATGTAGGAAGAAATGGAATGCAGGCCATCAAATGAATCTGCTTGTATTACAAATAAATCACATAACCACACTGAAGAAGGTGGGGAAGAAAGCTGACCTAAGTTTGGGAAAGTATATGACGGGATACTGGAAGGCTGAAGACAAAAGGAAGTTTACAAAAGCACTGTACTCTAGTTGGTAAATATGTTCCTCACAGGGATATGATCTAACAATACTGAAACTTTTGTACATGCGTATCCACACACACAGTTGAACAAATGGGTAAATATATTGTAGGTAATGAGAGCCAGGTTTCTCACTGCTAGAGAAAGAAGTTAGAAATAAAGTGAGGCAGGGGTGGGTGGAAGGGTGTGGTTAGAATGAACCCTGTGGGACTGGATTAGAGTTGGTGGCATCAGTGTGGACTCATGGTTTTTACTTACTATGTATATACACATGCAGAAATGCAGATATGTGTGTATACATATATTTCCTTTTTCCACTTAGAGGGACCAGAAGCAGTGACACCCAAGTAGCAATGAGGATGCCCAGCACCCAGATCTTAGTTTCTAAATAATATTCTCCAATGAAAGGAACTAGGGATTCTTGGAGAAGTGATTGGTTCCACAGGTAGGGCAGGGAAAATACAAGCTGAGTATGGAACATCTTGTGTCAGGAAGTAGGAAGTGCCCAAATAAAAAGGATGGAAGCATGTTGAAAGGGCACAATCTCACAAAGTATCTCCTCAAAAGTATTTATTCATTACAATAGTAAGTTCAGAAACTTCCTTAACCAAGTTATCAAAGTTAATACTGCAAGTTTGGTAGGCAGGCTCTAAGATGGCCCCTAATCTCCTCATCCTTGTGTATTCACACCTTTGTGTAATCCGTTCCTCTTGAGTTTAGGCTAGTCCTAGCTTCAAACAAATAGAACATAGCAAAAGTCATGGAATATCACTTCTGAGATGAGGTTGCAAAGAGACTGGCTTCTGTCTTGCTTGCCCACTTGTTCATTGGTGAAAGCCAGCTGCTATGTTGTGAGCTGCATTATGGAGATGCCCCCAGCCAGTATCCAGCAAAGAACTGCAATCTTCAGAAACATCCTGTTAGCAACTGAATCCTGCCAGCAGCCACCCTAGAGAGCTTGGAAGTAGATCCTGCCCCAGTCAAGCCTTCAGATTAGACCACAGCCGCCCCTGCTGACGCCAGTTAAACTATGCTTGGATTCCTTGCCCATAGAAGCTGTGAGAAAATAAGTGTTAATCCACTAAGATGTGGGGTAATTTGTTATTGCAGCAATAGATACCTTAATACAACCAGGAATACACTGCATACCAGGTATGGTGCACTGAGATATTGTCTCTGTGGTATCCTTCCCAAAAATGTATAACCTCAATGTAATCATGAGAAAATGCCCGACAAACCCCATCGTGACAAAACAGAATGGGGGCCATTCTACTATCCAAAAGTATCAGGATTGTGCAACACAAGGAAGACCTAAAAATTGTCACATGTTGGAGGAGACTAAGGAGATGTGACAATATAGATTCAAGTCTAATCTAGTTAATAGTATTGTACCAATGTTGATTTGTTTTTCTTTTTTGTTGTTGTAAGTATTACAGATGTCCCCTTTTTTCCCCCATTGACACCCTCCATTCCGTTCCTGCCCACCATGTTGATTTCTTAATTTTGATAATTATCCTGTGGCAGAGTTTCTCAGCTTTGGCACTAGTGGCATTCGGGGCCAGATAATTCTTTGTTGTGGGGACCGCATTGGAGGATATTTAGCAGAATCCTTGGCTTCTACCCACTGCCAGTGACATCCCCAACCCCCCATTTGTGACAACCAAAAATGTTTTAAGACATTGTCAAATGTCCCCTGGGGAACAAAATCACCTCTAGTTAAGAACCTCTGTTCTGTTATTACCATCTGTAGGATACTAATACAAGGGAAGGCTGGATGAAGAGTGTATGAAACTCAAATATTCTATATTACTTTTGCAACTCTGCCCTAAATCTAAAATTATCTTTTAAAAAAATATTATGATATGTGCTCATAAAAAAATCAAAATGGCATATTTAAGTTGCTCATTTCTTCCTTCACCTGCATCACCAGTGGTAGTCATTAACATATTTGAATCCAGAAATTTTCTGTGATATAATCCTATAGTTTTTACACAATTATACAGACTATCTAATATTGATACTGTTCAGCAGCCTCGTCGGCTTTTTTATACTTTTTTTAATTCTTTGATATATTTCCATAAACGATGTCATTAAGTAATTTTATTTGTTGGTTTTTTTTGTTATGCTTTTTTATATACTATCATTGCTATGCTGTACTATGATTTGCTGTTTTCCACCCAGCAAATACATCCCTGCTATGTATGGGCCAGGCACTGTATTGAGTGCTTTATATAAATTAACTCCTTTAAGCTTTATATCAAAGGTATGCATGAAATATGTTTTATTTCTTACTCTCATTTTGTAAGTGGGAAAGCTGAAATGCAGAGGTTAAGTAAGTAATTTGTTCAAGGTCATAGCAAATGGTAGAGCCAGGCTTTGAACTCAAGCAATCTGGCTCTTGAGTGCTCTTACCTTCTACCGCATCCTGTCTCTACTTTCTTGTGAACATGTTTCCCTGTTTTTCACTGGGCCTCATTTCTTTTTAACGGTCACATGAGGGCCCATGCGGTAGATGAGCTGTAATTGAACTCTTCCCTGTTAGTGTCTTTGACTTCCATATCTATCTCCAGCCCTGGGTCCCCAACCACCTCCTCAGTGTCCCATGGGCGCTGCCAACTCCATTTTAAATTGACTCAAATTGAACTCATCATCCTCCCACCCTCGCCTCCTCCTATGTCCCCATCTGAGTGGCAATGCCAACACCCATTAGTCATCAGGATGGAGGCAAGAGCCAGTTTGAGAGGGAATAAGTGAAGTGAGTAGGTGCCAGAGTAAGTGGAAAGTGTTTGGGTCAGTGGCACAGGGAAAGGGTTAGCTTTGCACAAAAAGACAAAAGGGGGTGGGTTAGTCTTAGACATCTGGAGGAAAGAGGTGAGAAAACGGAAGATGGAGAAGCCAAATTTAGGCTTCTGGTTATTAGCTGCTCATCACCACGGTAACTGCGTTACTATGGCAACAGCAGAGACAGCGCCGCATCTCCCAAGCACCTCGTCGGCTGCCGTTACCTCCACACTAGCCGGACACTTCCGTACGGGGGGCTGCGGCCCTCCGGAAACGGGTTAGGAAGACAGGAATTGCTGCTGCAGTAGCCAATCCGATAGGCTATGTGGCTAAGGACGCAAAGGAGGGATCGGGACTTCTTTGAAGCTTGCCAAAGGGCGTTGAGAAGGCGGGAGCGTATTACTGCCTCACCACTTAGGGGACGAGGAGAGGAAGGGGGCGGGGCCCAGGTAATAAAAAGTGGGGAGGATACGCCCACTCTCGCTTTTGCCCAATAGAAAGCCAGAAGTCCAGTTAAGGTGCCCAATGGGAGCCGTCGGCAGGCCCCGGTGCAAGGCACGCCCAGCCAATAGGCGGCGGCGGGGGGCGGGGGCGGGCGGAATAGTCTGTGAGGCGGAGGCGGAGCAGGCTCTGCTGCAGGAGGGAAGATGGCGGACGAGGAGAAGCTGCCTCTCGGTTGGGAGAAGCGCATGAGCCGCAGCTCAGGTGCCGCGGGGGTCCGGGCTGGGGCGGGGCCGCGTGGGTCTGCGGAAGCAAGGCTCGAGCTCGCCCCTCGGGCGCGGTGGCGCCGCCTGATTCCGGTGGTGGGGTCTTGGCTCCTCCGCGTCGTCCGGGTAACGGCTCGGCCCGCCCTTTTGAGGCTTGGAGCCGGGAAGCTGGAGAAAACAGTCTGGGACGGGCCTCGGGAGGCCCAGCGCGCTGCGGGGGGCGGTGAAGGGCTGGTGATCCCACGGCATTCCTCCGGGCGATGGCCCCTGGCCCTGCGGATCGGGCTGCACCTTTCGGCCCAATGCACCTGACGTCGCGGGGGAACGCCTCTGCACCCCGCTGGTCCCGGGGGGGTTCACCTCTGGGGGAGGACACCCGAAGCCCGTGCTTAGGGCGTGGCCCTAGGGTGTACCCCAGCCTGGGATGCACAACCTACTCCTGCTACCACGCCTGCCACCCACACCTAATGCTGAGCCTCTGTTCTTGGGTCCAATTTAAGGCTTATCCATAATAATGTCAACAACAGGGCACTTGTATGAGCTGTAAGCATTGTGCCAATCGTTTTAAGTGACTTCTCTGAATGGCCACAACTCTGGGAAGTCGGCAGTCATTACCCCCATTTTGCAAGTGAGGAAACTGAGGCCAGAAAATTTAAGGAACTTTACCAAAGTCATTCCTTACAGGGGGTGGGGGCTGAGGCTGGGTTAGAACCCAGTCAGTTTGACTGCAGAGCCCCATGCCCTTGTCTCTGCAAACTGCAGAGAAGCAGGCACTGCGTCTTGTATTCCACTGCCTTCACTGCCCATATTAATCATAGTCGCAGTAATAATTCTGGTGAGCACTTTGCATACATCGTCATTGACTCTCCACATTAACCCCCATGTAGTTTGGTGGCCTTATCTCTCCACTGCCACTTTTCAAGGAGATAGAGTCCATTACCACAGTTTTATAGACCATCAGTGGCTCAGCTCTCACCTTGCTCCAGCCCTGGCCTGTGACTGTGACCTGTGGCATAACCTGATGCTCTGCTCAACTCTGAGTCCCCAGTTCTGCCATATCTGCTTGGCTCGCCCCTGACAGTCCTCCTCGGGGTGACATTCAGCCCTTCACAGTGCTGGGCACAAGTCCTCTATGTAACACAGGCAAACTCTGGGCCCCTCCCACTTAAAATTTTTTGTGTGCTGTGTTCACTCCATGCTCCTCAGTCCCTGGTTAATATCTGGCCCCCAGTAATGCTTGACCTTCGTTGTGTACCACAGTACATTGTAGGGGGAAAGAGCAGAGCTTTGGTATCTGACACTCCTGGGTACAGTTCCTGCCTCCTTCCATAATGTGCTTGGAGCACAGTAAACACTCAAGAAACGTTACCTAGTTTTGTTATCTATAAAATGGAGATAGTATCTCTCACACTCTTAATGTGTCCCAGGAGCTATCCTAAGTACTTTTCAGATGTGAACTCATTCAGTCCTTAAGTAACCCAACAGGCAGGTACTGTTGTCATCTCCATTTTACAGGTGAGAAGACCGAGGCCTGGGGAAGGTAGATCATACAGTGAGTATGGGGCAGAGCCAGATTTGAATAGGTGGTCCAGCTGCTGAGTGCATGCTTTGAACCACGTCATCTCCCCTACCCTGGCTTCTCTGTTGTCACCCTGGGTTATTCAAAGTTATCAATGACTGAAGTTATCATTTCTAATTTTCTTACTTGCTTGACTGGTGCTGATCTCTCCCCATCTAGAATGTTAGCTCCCTAAGGGCCTGTATCACGTGGTGGACACACAGTGGATTTGCTGAATCATGGCATCTCATAGGCCAGTCCCTTATTCTGGCCTCAGGGTGATGTCCTATGAGCAGTGCCAGCTGAATTCCCACCTCCTCTTCCCCCAGGCAGGGTATACTACTTCAATCACATCACTAACGCCAGCCAATGGGAACGGCCAAGCTGCAACAACAGTGGGAGCGGCAAAAATGGACAGGGGGAACCCACCAGGGTCCGCTGCTCACACCTGCTGGTCAAGCACAGCCAGTCACGGCGGCCTTCGTCTTGGAGGCAAGAGAAGATTACCCGGACCAAGGAAGAGGCCCTGGAGCTGATCAACAGTGAGCAGGGCTAGAGACGATCTGGGGGGAGGGAGGGTACCTCTCCCGAAGAGCGTCAGGACAAGCCTTGTAGAAATCACACTAGACCCTACACCCCAGCTTGCTCAGCTGTCGGGTGTGGCATTGGCTGACACCAAAGTGCATGTACATAAAATGAGCCTGGCCCACGTGACCAACTATTATTTCCTCTCCCTCCCTCCCCCCTCCACTCTCTCTGAAAAGCAATGGAAAAAATATCCTCAGGTGAGGATGAAAAAAAAATAGGCTTTGTCCTGTGGGCCATTGTTGGCAGAACCCTGATCTAGAACAGGCCAGTATGGCTGCCACTACCTACATATGGCTATGTCCATTTAAATGAGTTAAAATGAAGTAACACTAAAGATTGGTTTTTTTTAGTCACACTTCAACTAGTAGCTGGTGGCTGCCTTCTACAGCGCAGGTAGGATGTAAAAACATTTACGTCCTTGCGAGAAGTTCTGTTGGACATTGCTGGTCTGGATCTCATGTGTGATTTAATCACCCACTCATCTTTTCCCACCAGAGACCCCAGACCTCTCCGTGGTTGCTCCTCCATATAACTGGTCCCTCATTCACGCCCATCCAGCCTAAGTTCCCATTGGACTCTGCCAGGTCCTGGCTGTGTGACCTTGAGCAAGTTACTTAGCATCTCTGAGCCTCAGTCTCTCACCTATAAAATTAGTGTGATAATAGGACCCACCTCATAGGGTAGATGTGAGGACTCTGACCTAATACAGTAAAGCACGAATAACAGCACCTGGCATCTAGTAAATGTTCTATAATTGCGAGCGGTGATAGTGATTGGTGTTATTAGCACAAGTCTGGCAAAGAGTACCCAGTCAGTCTTGGCTGTTGTTTAAGTATCATATCACTTGTTCCAGTGCTTGGCCTATAAGATATTACTTACACACACGCAACACCCCCTCCCCCATATGATGTCTGCACCATTAGTGGTACCTGTTAGCCTCATACCTCATAGCATTGTAGAGAGCATCTCAGTTCTTGCACAGAATCTTGAAGGCAGATTTGAAAGCTTGCCTCCTGAGCTTCGTGAGATCAGGGACTGGATCTGTGTCTTTCCCTACTGTATTCCCACCACCTAACACACATGTTAGCTTGGCCCATGTTAGCACTCACAGCGTTGTTTCATGAACCAGTAGGAAGTGAGAAGGATTCTTGGCAGAGGAAATGACAGAAATAAAGGCCTGGGGCTAGACTGTAAACAGAATTCTGGAAGGCTGAGCAGGGGGCTGAAGAGGGACCAGATCCTTCAAGGGCAGGTCCTTGCCAGGTTGAGGAGGGTCAAGAGTGAAGCAAAGAGTTGGAGTCTTTCCTGGTCATAACAGGAAACATGGCCAAGTTTGACCGGAGAGGGGCCCTGCAGTGCTGTGCTTTCAGAACTGTGTGGCTGGAGGGTGAAGGGCCAGGGAAGCCGGAAGGTCCAGGGCCCAGGCTGGCTGGGACCAGCTATGAGTGATGGAGAACGGGTAGGGAGGTTGTTGGGCTGCCCCAGGGTAAAGAAGGTTGTGGGTGGGGAAAACTCAGAGAATATCTTGAGGTGATGTCTCCTCCTCCCAGCTCACGTGGTCCCTGTTCTGAGGCTTCTGGACCACACAAGAGTGAGCAAGAGGTAACAGACATTTGGGATTGAGTGGCAAGAGGAACAACTGCTGGTAGAGGGGACTTGGGAAGAGGTACGTCTGGGGAGGGACTCACTAAATCTGAGGGGGCCCGAGGAAGAGACATTGGGGAGGCAACTGAGAGAGCGCTTGGGTTCAGCAGAGCAGCCAGGCCAGAGACAGAAGCTCTTAGAACAGTCCTGACAAGATAGGAGGCTAAGACAGGTGAGCACAGTAAGATCTCATTGTGGTTTGGAAGGAAAACTGTCAGGCTGTGAGGGCTGCCTGGAAGTGGCAGGTAAGGATGCCTCCCCCACTTCTCGGATGGGATGTATATCTGGTGGGACTGACGCTGGTGGGGGCCTGAGAGTGCTGAAGTCAGCTTTGGTCTTGGGGAGGGTAACCTGGGGGGGGCAGGGGTTGTGTTTCCACTAAGCAGCTGGACCCTGGAGACACCTTAAGTGGATGCAGACTATGGTTTACAGGTAGGGCATGCCCGCCTGTGCTAGAGGACCTGGTGGAAGCTCTGGGAGGAATTGTAGCTAGAGATGATGTGAAGTGAACTTGGAGATGGGTGGGAGGGGTGGAGCAGATTCTAGAGAGATTTAGGAGGCAGAATCCAGAGGAATGGGTGATGGATTAGATGGCCGGGGGTGGGGTAAAGTCGGAACCAGTGTGACCCAACCTGGAGTCACACAGAGGTCGATCCTGGTGCCAGCTGTGTGGCCTTAAGCAAGTGTCTTCATTTTCAAAGCCTCTGTTTCCTTTTCTGTAAAATGGGGACAAGGTGGGCATGAAGATCCAGGGAGTACTCAGTAGACCAATGGAATGGGCTCAGTGTCTGGTGCTTACTGTCTAGGTGGTGGAGCCTTGACGTCAGTCATTTAGGAGTGTGTGGTGGGGGCCAAGGTCAAGACAAGGTCTTTACTCGCAGGCAGCCCCTGCTACTTCCCCAAGGCAGATGGAAAGAGCTCTGGGCCCATGGGAAGAGCTCTGGGCAGGGATGTGGGAGGCTGGTGGGCTCAGCGGGCAGACCCTCTGATGACCTTGGGCAGTGATTTCCCTCTTTTGGCCTCAGTGTCCTAAGACACTGAGATGGGGTTGGAGCAGGCTTCCTTCAGGTTGTTCGGAGGGAGAAGCAAGATGCGGGCTGTGGTGCCATGTCAGCGAGCTTGGAGCGTTTGGGCCTCCTTTTTCTCCCATGAAAGTGAGTGTTCCCCCTGTCATGGGCTTGTTCCAGGTGATCAGGAGGTGAGGATTTGGGCAGCACACTCTGTAGCTGGCAGCCTGGTCTGGAGTCTCATCAGTATCCATTTAGAGCCAGTGCTCCCCATCGCCCCAAGGGGACAGTAGCAGCTACCTGCAGTGAGAACCAGCGCATCCAAGTTTTCTGCTGATGCTCCTTTTCTTAGTGTCGGCTCCTCTGCAGCTGCTGGGCTGTGGCCAGGGGCTGTCAGAGATCCGAGAACTGGCTGCCTGTAATTGCTGGTGTCCTTGTATGAGGAGGCCAGGCCATGGAGAAGCCCTCCGCACCTGCTCTCCATCCCTCTGCCCTGCATGCCCAGGGCCTGAGGGTCCCAGGGAGGCCTGGTGTGAACAGAAGTCCCCCCAAACATACACATGCCAAGGAGCGAAGGCCAATGAGTGCTTTTGGTCAAATCTTTCCACCCTAGGTTGGTGACTTCTAGCCTGCTGGCTTCAGGCTAGGTCTCTGGTTTCTCTGGGCCATTTCTGCTGGATCTTGGGACTTCTGGAATGACAGAACTAAGCCTATCACATTTCTCCCATCCAAGTTTCTTCCCTTGTTTGTCTCCAAACCTTTTTAGGGTCAGAGACCACCCCATTTGTTCACTCACTTTCCCTTAGGTAATTTTGCTGTCATCACACTGCCTTTCCTTGGTGCGTGCCCATCTGGAAAGAGAGAGATGGAGCTCTCTGGTGTCTCTTCTAAGGACACTACTTATTGGATCAAGGCCCCACCCTCATGACCTCATTTAACCTTAATTACTTCTGTAAAACCCATCTCCAAACACAGTCACATTCAGAGATCAGGGCTTCAATACATGAATTGGAGGCACACAGTTCAGTCCGTATTATGGGGACTGACAGCACTGTCAAGGGCTTGCTCTGGGCCACGCCCTGCTCCAGCAGTAACTTCTTTACTCCTCACAATAACCCTCCAAGGTGGGAGCTGCTAATTAGCCCATTTTATAGATCAGGAAAGTGAGGCTCCAAGAGGGAAAGTCACCCACCAGGGTCAGAGCTCAGGAGCAGTAAATCTGGGATCTGAACACAGCAGTTAAGGTTCAGAGTCTACCCTCCCCAGCCTTGGGGCTATGTTGTGATCTGCCAGCAGAGGCAGATGCTGGTCTGTTGTGCATCCTGTTTCAGGAGTTCCTGAACTCCCCGAAGCAGGTGGAAGGTGCCTGCTCCAGACTGGGAGCTCCTTGAGAGGCCGCCATGGTCTGACTAGCTCTCAGTGTCCCAGCCGGAGCTCCGTTGGATGAGGGTTGGATGGACGCTGGATGAGTGCTGTTATGGTGACTGGTGTTGACACAGGTGAGGCCAGGACATTGCTGGGAAAGGCCAGGGGGGAGCCGGACTGGTTTGTACTTCTTTTCTGCTCCTCTTTAGCATTTGGACCTGAGGTTCACAGAAAAAGTATGAGATTCCTGCATTTCTGCCTACAGAGCCCAGTGGTGGATCCCTCTCCCTCCTTCTCTGTGGCCTGTTTCTGTCTCATTTATTTATGAATTCCTTCAACATTAGTGAACATCTGTTCTGTATACAGTGCCAGGTGCTGGGGACACAGCAGTGAGCAAGGCTGACCCAGCCCCTGTCCTCCCAGTATGAGGCAGGCCACAGATGCACAAACAGGACAGTGTTAAATGCAAGGCCTAGGGAGGCACCTCACAGAGCAGGGTCTTATGGAAGGCTCCCAGGTGAGACCAGGAGACAGCAGGCAAGCTTTAGGTGGGAAGAGACGCCTAAGCAAGAGTAGCATTATGCACCATTATGGACACCATCGAGGTGGCAGGTAGCTGGGGCTGAGGGAGCAGAGAAGCAGGGCAGGACTGGGAGGGACATCAGGGAGGTAAAAGACTGAGCTGAGGGGACACAGGGGCCTGAAGGTTCCCTTGCATCTTGGCTTGTGGCCAAGACCAGACCCTTCCCTAAAGGTCAGCCTCTAGAAAGGCACAGTTGTGCCTCTTTTTTTCCCCTTTTTTAAAAATATGTTTTTATTGATTTTATAGAGAGAGGAAGGGAAAGGGGGAGAGAGAGATAGAAACATTGATGAGACAGAAACATCAACATTGATCAGCTGCCTCCTGTATGCCCCTCCCCTACTGGGGATCAAGCCTACAACCTGGGCATGTGCCAGGACGGGGAATTGAACCGGTGACCTCTTGGTGCATGGGTCGACACTCAACCACTGAGCCACAGTGACCAGACCAGTTATGCCATATGAATGGGTTGGTGCACTGAGTGCTCAGGATTCCTGGGCTGGCAAATTGAGGTCCAGACAGAAGAGAGGAGGAGGAACCTTGGTGCTGCAAGGGTGAGGGCAAGGAGATAACTGGAAGTACAGGGAGAGGAGAAGGAGGGATATCCTAGTGACATCACCTGTGGATGCACCTGGCACAGAGGCACCATCCATCATCCCCAGGGGGGTGTTCTGACCACACCAGGGCATTGTGGGCAGAAGCCACCATTCCTGGCAGGCCATAGCAAGTGGAGCTTGTCACATCGATGAGTCTTGCTAAGCAAATAGCACATCACGGTGGTGGCCAGACCAGACAGAGGTATCCCAGTGAGGAAGATCAGGGAGAAGTAGGGACAGCCTCATCACAGGACATGCAACCTACACAAAAGGGAGAATGGTGACAACAAGTGACATTTCTCAAGTTCTCTGCCAGCACTGTGTAGGGTATCACTGGTCTACTGGCAAATGACTTAACAATTCAGACTCAGGCAATTCAGAGTCAAAGACAAGAGTGACATGGACATAGAGAAGGCAAGGGTGACCAGGATGGCCCTGAGAGCATCCAGCAGATGAGATAACAACACTGCAGTTGCTGCTGTGATGTATGGTGAGACAGGTGATAAGAATATAGTCATACTTATGCCAATTTAACTGCGGCCCATGGCAGATAGGTTACAGTGACCTTGAGGTCAAACAGGAATCTGAGGCTGATGGACCTGGTGAAGTTTGCAGCAGCCCAGCATCAGGCAGATGGCCCTGACTGGGTGTCTGGGTCTCAGGGTAGCAGATAGATTATTCAGTAGTGTCCCTGTGGTGCTCAGACAGGTACCAGGCAGGTGTGTCACAGCCTTGTTTAGGTCAGACAGGAGCGGGGGTCGAAGCATCACAGTGGTGCGCAGGAAACTCCCTGGCAGGTGTGACAGGGTAACCCATCTGATATGGGCTGGTGCCCCATTGCTAAGGTAGGTGGGTATGTGGTCCTGGGCACCCCGAGAGGCCTCAGGGAGAATGCCCTTAGGAGAGTGGATGTCAGGATGGCCATAGTGGCCAGGCTGAGTGGAGGTCTGGGGCCAGATCTCCTGGGAGCCCACCTTGTGGCTGAGCCTGTGGGTACAGGGAGGAAACTGGCAGGGACATCCATTCATGTGCAGGACAGCTGGTTGGAGCAGGACACGCATTTCAGGGAGGGAAAGACAGGTTCTGGCTCCAAGAGCTCCTGGCTGGACTCAAAAGAGCAACTGGTGGCTCCCTATCTATACACACAGGGTCCTCTGTGCTGATTCCCAAAGCCAGTCACACTGATGCTTGTCGCTGCCCTGTGGCGCCCTCTGCTGGGATCCCTTTTTCTCAGTCATCCTTTCCTTCATTCTGTCAGCCCCAGCCTCCCTCTCCACCCAGAGGAAATTGGAACCTATTGGGGACAGTTTGGGCTGCACAGAGAATCTGGTGCTCTGCCAACACACCCTGTTGGGGCAGCTGGGAGGATAGCCATGTTGGCTGCCTCTGAGGCCATAGTCTGTGGGAGTGACACATGTCCTTTCCTGAGGTCTCTTCATGACACCCCAGTGAGCTGCTCGGGCCTTCCCCCAATTTTTAACAGATAGGACACCTAAGGTTCACAGTTGAGGACTTGGCCAGCTCCCATGGCAGAGCTGGGCTCACTCCCTGGCCTCCTGCCTTTCTCCTAGAGAAGCTTCTAGGAAACTTTCCCACCACTATCCTGGTGACTCCTTAGGGGGCCCTAGATTCCAGCATCCCTCTTTGTCTCTCCTGTTTCCTGCTATCCTCCCCAATGGGGCCTGAGAGTAGATTTTCTCACAGTATGTGCAGGAGGTGGGAAGAGATAATGCTAAGTTTATATTATATTTGTGTGGAGTGGGGGAGAGTGATAGAGGGAGCAGGAGTTTAGGAATGGGGTGTTAGACCAACATGACTGTTGGGGTTACTGCAGAGTAACAGTGCATGTGCGTGTGGAAGGCACCACTTCGTGGACTCCTATGACTCTAGGTGTGATTGTGTGCATGTGTGTGCAGGGAGAAGGCATTTGTGGATGTGTGTTAGCATGTAGGGGTGGCGAGTATTTACATGTGCTTGCGTGTGTGTGTGTGTGTGTGTACGCAAGTAGAGCAGAGGTGACACAGCTCCATTCCAGGTGATGTGCCACCCTCCTTTGGAGTCCTCTGCCCTGTCTCATCCTGCCCCTGACATGGTCTCCTGTGTGCCTTATGTTATGTGTTTCCACAGGCTACATCCAGAAGATCAAATCAGGAGAGGAGGACTTTGAATCTCTGGCTTCACAGTTCAGTGACTGCAGCTCGGCCAAGGCCAGGGGAGACCTGGGTGCCTTCAGCAGAGGTGCGCGGATAACGGGCACCACCAAGCCCTGGGGGACCTCTGGCCCACCAGCCTTAGAGGATGGGCGGGAAGGCCCCTGCCGCACAGGCCTTCAGAGTCCACCAGGTGGCAGCACAGTCCCTCAGGCTTCAGAGGCTGCCTTGCTGGTGGAGGAGGGCAGGGGTGACTGCAGAGCCTTCTTGGGTTGGGGAGTCATTCTGTATTTCTTTGCACATTTTTCCCAATCACAGGCCCACCAGGCTACAGTTTGCCTCTCCTCCCGTTGGGAGGTATAAGGCAGGGGCCCCTGAGAGCCCCAGGGTAGTCTTCCATAATCCTCTGCTCTACCCTTACTGGTGGGGTGAGGGGAGGATGGGTTGGATCAGCAGCCCCAAGTTTAGGGCTGTCTGGCTAGGGCAGTGGGAAGAGAAGACCAGAGGAGACCAGGTCACCACCACCTCCTCCTCTTTCCCTCCTTCCCCTCCATCCCCAAGATGCCCAGGATGGGGTGAGAGGTATGGGGTAACCAACAAGGAGCTGCCACTCACCCCAGGAGGCAGATGGGGCAGACAGGACAGATGTGGCAGGGGCCGGGAACTAGGCTCAGGGAGAATTCATCACTGAAATGCATCTCTAAGCACGCAGCAGCAACAGTAGCTCTGCCTGACATCCCTCATGCTGTCCTCAGGCTTCCTGGGGCCTCTTTAATGGCCTTCCCACCTCCAGCTGGGCTGCTCAGCACTGTGACAGGGCCATAAACCGAGTGACAGATGAGTTGCGAGGCTGGGTACAGGCTGGAGCCCCATCTGGCCAACCTGCCTGGTTCAAGCTTCTGCCAGGTCTTGACCCCCACACATTATCCTTTACGTTTCCCCAGGTCAAATGCAAAAGCCATTTGAAGATGCCTCCTTTGCCCTTCGGACAGGGGAGATGAGTGGGCCCGTGTTCACGGATTCCGGCATCCACATCATCCTGCGCACGGAGTGAGGGGGCAGGTGGCCCAGG